TATCTATGTCTGTGTTTGTGTCTGTGTCTGTGTGTGTCTGTGTCTGTCTGTCTGTGTGTATCTATGTCTGTGTTTGTGTCTGTGTCTGTGTGTGTTGCGGTCAGCAGTTGATGCTGGATGCCTTGTTCAATTGCTTTCCATCTTATTTTTTGAGATGGGGTTTCTCACTGAACTCCAGCTAGCTCACTAGCTCACTGATTGGTTAGAGTGGCTGCCTGGTAGAGTCCTGGCAACTGCCTTCTACTCTCCACGTGCAAAGGTTATGGATGCAAACCACTGCACCTGGATTCTTTACGTGGGTGCTGGGAACCTGAACTCAGGTCCCCATGCTTGTGTGGCAGGTACTTAACAGACTAAGCCATCCATCTCTCAGCCCTTTGTTCTCAGTCTTTAACATCTATAGTACACAGATACATGGTGTTTTCAATAGATGTATCAGGTAACAGAGATTTAGAAAACAGTAGAGAGGCTGAATACCTAAGGCAAGGAGTCAGAGTAGAGTCAATGCAAATGGCAGAGACTCTGCTGGTGACCAGGAACAGGTTATGGACCACTATAGGCTGTCAAGTTGAAACGCCAGTATGCAGTTTTGAAGTGGGTGGTATGCTGGTGTCAAAACAGGGACATCAGCCAGGTGGCGGTGGTGCACCCCTTTAATCCCAGCACTCAGGAGGCAGAGCCAGGTGGGTCTCTGTGAGTTCAAGGCCAGCCTGGTCTACAGAACAAGATCCAGGACAGGCACCAAAACTACATGGAGAAACCCTGTCTCAAAAAACCAAAAAACAAACAAACAAAACCAGCAGCAAAAAGACAGGGACATTGATCTGATCAACCAGATCAGATTAACCAGGATGCATTGAAGTCCAGGGACAAACATACATTCTTCGGGAATTTCTGTGACAAAGATCAGGAAGGATATTTGGAGGTGCCCATGACAAAATAGCCATCTGTGTTAATGTCCCACATCTTAGCTATTTCTCCTTTTATGTTTCCAGATAGGGGTTACATCACTCTTTTTAAAAGTTTATTTTATATAAAAATTTATTTAATTTATTACTATTATATATGTGGTGTGTGTGTGTGTGTGTATGTGTGTGTGTGTGTGTGTGTGTGCATGCCCGTGCACACGTATGTGTCAGGGCAGACCTGTGCCACAGCACTTCTGCTTAGGTCAGAGGACAACTTTCAGGAATCTGTTCTCTCCTTCCACCTTGATGAGGCAGGGTTTCTCTCATTTCTGCCTCTCTGTGTACTTCTGGCTAGTTGGATGCTCCCGTCTCTGTACCTCTTCCCCATCTGGCCATAGGAATGCTGGGATTACAGATGTGTACCACCACAGCTGGCTTTTTTATGTGGGTTCTTAGAGCTGAACTCAGGCCATCAGGCTTGTGTGGCGAGTGCTTTTCCCGGCTGAGTCATCTGGCTAACCCCTGGCCTTAGTTGAGCTGTGTTTTTCTAAACTCAAGTTCCTGGTGTATCATGAAGCAACTCTTCTTTCTCCCTCATATAGCACAGCCATATATGTAACAGGCCAGAATACAAACTTCTCAATATGCAATGAATACTATTTGTATGTCCCATGCAATATTTTGGCACACACCACTATTAGAACACTTTTATGCTCTTTATCAGAAATTCAGATTTAATTGAGGATCTTGAATTTTATCTGACCACCCTATGCTTATTGTTCCTTGATGAAATAATAGGCTCAAGGGCCTGGCTGAATAGTGCATGGTAGTTAGGTATGATACTAACACTTGGGAGGCAGAGGCAAGAAGATGTTCACAAGTTTAAGTCAGTTTGGTCTACGTAGAGTGTAGCTAGAGTTTTCCTGCTTTGCTCACAGTCAGGACAAATCTTTGTCACCCGCCAGTCCCACAGCCGCTCAGACCCAACCAAGTAAACACAGAGACTTATATTGGTTACAAACTGTATGGCCGTGGCAGGCTTCTTACTGTTCTTATAGTTTAAATTAATCCATTTCCATAAATCTATACCTTGCCACGTATCTTGTGGCTTACCGGCATCTTCACATGCTGCTTGTCCTGGCGGCGGCTGGCAGTGACTCCTTCTGCCTTTCTGATCTTTCTTTTCTCCTCTCTATTAGTCCTGCCTATACTTCCTGCCTAGCCACTGGCCAATCAGTGTTTTACTTATTGACCAATCAGAGCAACACATTTGCCATACAGAACATCCCACAGCAGTAGAGAGTTCTAAGCCAACCAAGGTTACACAGAAAAGGCCAATCTCAGGGAGGAAAGAAAGCATGGACTTAAGCTTTAAATTTTTTAATTTAATTTTAATTAATTAGTTTTGTACCACTGGAGATGGAATACAGGGCCTCTTGTAGCCTGGAAAGCACTGTGCCACAGAGCTACAGCCCCAGCTCACTAAAGCTTGTCTTTACGCACAGGTAGGTGTGGTCATGCTCTGTCCCATAGGACCCTCCCCACCTTCATCTCCAGAGCTTTAGCTCATCTTCGATGAACACTTGACTGCAGACAGGACGTTTAGGTTAGTCCACAGGTCAGCTCACCGCCTATCAGGGAGCCTGGTGCAAACATTTGCATTAAAGGGAAACAGTGACTCGATCTTCGACCAAGGAGATGCTTTCTCTCAAGAGTCTGGAGCCATCATGTGAGAGAATTAGTCAGAGGAATAGAAGCCAAGAGACACAGAGAGAGCGAGAAGCAGAAGGTGAGTTTACAGCTCAGAAGAGGATGTGAAAATTAGCTCTGGTTTGGGAGAAGGTGGTGAGGGCTGTTTAGTAACATCAGGAGCATTATGAGGGAGAGAGGGAGGGGAAACTGCTGAGTCTTGGCAGTGGCAGGACACTGGAGCTCAGTGAGCCCTAGTTCTGGGAGTCCAGAGCCAGCCTGCTTCTGGGAATGAATCACAGCAACCCTGTTCCCAGACCAGGACCCAAGCTCTTTAAAGCCCAGCTGGACCAGTCTGGTGTTTAGCTTTTCTTTGGTTCACAGAGAGAGCTGCCTCTTTGGCTGACCTTTCTTATTTCTGTTTCTGTCCTTACAGTCAATCTCCATCATTTCTGGGATCAAGTTAACCTCACCAAGAAAGATAGGCCCCCAAGGCTGCTGGTGCTGTTAGTAGCGCTCCACCAGGAGAGGAGTTTCATGTCTCCCACCTCTGTATCAGCATCAAGGAAATCTTCAAATGCCAACACCTTCTGGTTCCAACTTGGAGCTTTGGGCATGTGTCATGTGCCACTGCCTACTTTTGAAAAATCTCAGTTATGGCATCTTTTTGTGCATGTCAAACTAGTGCTTGGCACAGGGCCTGGTACACGCTTGGAGACCAATGAAAACATGCAGAAATACCCTCTGCCTATGTCAGGTTGAATGCCTGCAGCATTGGATGGAAACCCCTGAGTTCTAACTCTAAAACCACCTGCATAGTAATGTGGACAAGCAATTTGGTCTTCTAGGTCTCCATTCGCTCCGCTGTAAATGAGGGTGTGAGAGTTGCTTCTCTGGTTGGGCTGTTGTGAGGTTTAAAATAGCAGATGTGTGAAAGTCTATACACACCAAGCCCTCTGAGGTATGAACTGTGCTAAAGCAGGAGGAAACTGTTATGTGAAAGGGACATGCTTTAATCTCTTCCGAGTAGAAAGCAAATGCACCTCAGGACACAAGGTTCTCTCTGACAGAAAGGCAGACATTGAAGCGCTGGGTAATAGCTCAGTGGGTAAGAACACTTGTTGTGTAACCATGAGGACCTGAGTTCAGATCCCCAGGGCCACTCACACTTTGCAGGGGTGGAATGAGACAGCAGGATCGCTGGGGATTGCTGGTCACCAGACTAACGAGACAAACTAACAATGACAGAAAAAGGTGAGCTCCAGGTTTAGAGACAGTGCGGAACTGTTTCAAGAGATTAGGTGCAAGGGACATGATGGAGAACACCAGATGTTTTCCTCTTCAGGCTTCTGTATGCACCATATGCATAAATGCTCACATATATGCATGCATGCATATACACACTCTCATACAGAACACACACACACACACACACACACACACACACACACACACACATAACCACACACACACACCACACGGCACAAATTCCTCTTGGCCAGTTGGAGAGAAATAAGTAGATTTTACAGTTGGTTGGGCTTTCAGCTTAAAAATCTTGCAATTTTGGAATTTAAAACTAAATAGAGTTGTTTGTATTATTTTAAGAACCTCAAAAAGGAATATTACTATTGTCATACTAATTTATTTTGAACACATCTCAATCAATTTTTTATGAAACACCCCTTTAATGAACGCCATGACTTGACAGAAAGGAAATGAGAAAATACAGTTTGTGTTGTGAAATGGATGGTTCTCCATGGTCCTGCACAGCTGTATAATGGGGCAGGCTGTAGCCTCTGGATCTGCTCAGCACCGACCCTGGAATTTCCAAAATGTCATAACAGCATGCTTTCAAAATAATATGCTCAGGCCCTACACCCCCAAGTGTGTAATATTGTCAGGGTGTTTTATCTGCTGCCATGGATTGTGCACATGACGAATCCATTTCCCCCAACAAACCATCACGTATGTCCACACTGTCTATAAATTTTGAATTCTGACAGCTCTGCAATTATCCTCTGACGTCTGGATTGGCCTGGGTTGAATGTAATCGGAGGGTGATGTTCTTAAAGAATAAAGGAGCTGTCACTTCTTTCTTCCTGATGGGTCCTTTCTGGAAAAGGTGATGTCAGACATATGCAAGGCTTAACCTTGCTGGACAAAGTCCCACATACTTTCCCCCAGGGTAGAAGAGATTGAACAGGACTGATCTGTAAGCATCCCACCTCTGGGGGTGATAACAGGGTCACCATGTACTCAGGTTTGGCTTTGTAATAATACATCTGGCATCAATAGACTTCCTTTCCTTCCAAAGTGCTTTCCTATTCGTGATCCCATTGCCCTCACCAGAGGAGGATGAGGATCTGGTTTCCCTGCTCTGGTTCAGGGCAGGCCGCTTCACCCTGCTCAGATCCAGTCGCTGGAATGAATCACTGTTGACTGCTCAGGGTTACGTGAATGCAAATGCAGCAGGGAAGTGCTTTGGAAAATATGAAACGTTGTGAATAGAAACAGGCTGTGATAGTAACAGTCAATTACACACTCTAGAAGTTGCAGAGATGGAACACCAGTAATAGCGCAGTAAAGAGATTTTCATATAAATTGGGTGTGGTGGTCCATTCTTGTAATCCCTGCACTCCGAAGGAGGATCAGAAGTTCAAGACCATTTTCTGCTACATAGACAGTTTGGGGCAAACCTTGGCTATGTGAGATGCTTGCTGTCTTAGAAGAAAAATTGTTTCCATCTTTACTTTGTGAAGACAGTTGACTCATGTGCGTGGACAAGACACATTACTTTAGTAGGCTCAGATTTTATTAGTTTCTTACTAAATATAGGTCAAGTCATTGCTGATATTGGCTTGTTGTAGGCAGAAATTTCTCCAGTCCTGCTTTGTCCAGTGGTCTGGATGAATGTCTTCCACCTGCAGTCCCGAAGGCACTTATTAAATAATTACACAGAGGCTTATATTAATTACAAACTGTATGGCCTATGGCTTTAGCTTCTTGCTAGCTAGCACTTTCATCTTAAATTAACCCATTCCTATTAATCTATATGTTGCCATGTGGCCGTGGCATTACCGGTCTGCTGGCATCTTGTTGCTCCTTGGGTGGCAGTTGGCATCTCTCTCCACTCCACCCGTCTTCTCTCTGTATCTCTGCTTGGATTTCCCCCCTGGTTGTAAGCTTTCTTGCCGTAGGCAAAACAACTCTATCTATTATCCAATGGGAGCCACACATATTCACAGCATACAGAAAGACATCCCACAGCAGCTTGTTCTCCACTTTGACAAACAAAAGTATTTCACATACAAGGGAGAAAGATGTTATGATGAGAGCAGTTTTGTTTTTCCAACTTATTTTGTGCAAATACAAAATTTGGATTCATGTATATAACAAAATGCTGACCCAAACTGACTTGAAGATGAAATTTATTGACTTGTGGAATAAACGGGTATGTAGCAGTTCAGGCTTCAGTCATGAGGTGATCCAGGGATTCAAATGGATTCCTCAGGACTCCTTTCTATCTGTCTCTAGGGTCTTTTCTTCTTTATATTGACATTGTCCAGTCTCTTCTCGAGTGATAAACAGCTCCCAGCAGCCTTAGGCTTTTGTCTTCAAACCTTAGCACCTTCCATGGAAACAGAGTTTTCTTTCCTTAATGACTTCAACCTAAGTCCCAGGACTAAGACTCCTGGGACTGAAGTGGAATCCCTGCTTGGGCAGACACTGTTTTCCAGGCAATGGGTATATGGTTAGCTTGGGCTGTTTCTATTCTTTATTGCTTTCTCTAGGGTGGGGGTAGGGTTAGAAGTGGGCTCAGCCTCATTGGAACCACATGGACAGAGGCTGGGTGTGGCTATTCCCTAAAGGAGAATGGAGAGAATGTTAAGAGCAAATAGAGAGGCTGGAGAGATGGCCCAGTGGCTAAGAGTGTAGTATATACTGCTCTTACTGCGGAACCCAAGTTCAACTCCCAACACCCATGTTGGTTGGCTCACACCATCAATAAATACCGCTCCAGGAAGGTCTGCCTCTGGCTTCAGAGGGCACATGCACTCACATGCCCATATCCACTCCACACTCTTACATACAGATAATTAAAAATAAAAATAAACCTTCCCAAAAAGTAAAAAATGAGAAAGTAGGATGGAATCTAAGATTTATTTATTTACTTACTTGGGTTTTGGTTTTGGTTTTTTGAGACAAGGTTTCATTGTGTAGCTCTGGCTGTCCTGAAACTCACTCTGTAGACCACACTGTCCTTGAACTTACAGAGATCCACCTGCCTCTGTCTCCCAAGTGCTGGGATTAAAGGCATGGGGCACCTTTTTTTTTTTTTAATTTTCATATCCTTTGCTTGTTCGGTTTAGATCCTCACCTTTATCTATGAGTCCCGATACCCCATCTTTTGCCTGACTCACTCTACTCATACGACTTCTCTTGGTGTGTTCTCGTTGGGTTACTGAGTTTTTCAATTCCATCTTCATTTTGGTTTGAGTCCTCTGTAGTGTTTCTGTCTCTTTATTGAGTTGCATCTTTAAGTCTGGGCTTGTCTTTGCCATGTCTATCAGCCTTACTCTTGTGTTTTCTTGAGTGTCATGGAGGCATTTCTTCCCCTTACGTCCTTTCTCCTTGATTTTATTGAGCTGTTTGTGTCTTCTTCAAACTCTTTGAATTCTTTGATGAAGTTTGTGATTGCTCTTTTAAATTCTGTGTCCTGGAGTTCATCTAGGTAATTCTCATTAACAAACATTTCTACAGGACTAGAAAGTTTGGGAGGGAAGATACTAGCTTGATCATTCATAATTTTTTTGTGCTTTTTTTCAACACGATCTGGACATGTGGACTTCTTTTGTTAGTTCTGAGTCTGTTATGGACAGAGCAGGTTGGGGCAGAAGGGAGGATGTGTGGGTGGGTTGGGCCTAGAGGTTAGAAATGACTTAGGTGGAATGAAATTGTGTGTAGACAGAGGTGCTGGGCTGCTGTACAGGATGTGAGTCCTGGTACAAGTCCAGAGTGTGGGCATAGATCTTGCTGGGTGGAAAGGTTGAATGTTGTATGGGAGGGTCCAGTGGGTTGGGGGTTAGGCAGAGTGGGTCTTGACAGAATCCTAGAGGTAGGTTGGGGTGCAGGTAGGGTGGCTAGACTAGGTCAGGGGATGTGGGTGTGGGTGCCTGTGGAGGCCAAAAGATGGTGCTGGAGTACCTGGAACTGGAGATGCAGGCAGTTGTGAGCCTTTTGACCCCAGTGCTGGGAACCAAGTTCAGGTCTGAGGAACAGCAAATATGCCTAAGTACTCAGAGCCATTTTTTTCAGCCCTAGAATGGAATTTACGAAGACAAAACAAACAGTGATTATAGTAAACGAGGTGCTTGAATGATGGGTAAGCACACACTTGCAATGCACATTCCCAGTGGGCAGCCCTTTACCAATGTAAGAACTGCATGGCTAAAAAGTCACTGATCTAATCCAACACTCATTTTCAAGGTGTTACTGTCTAATAAGTTTGTCCTGGGAATAAAAAGTGGAGGTTTGACCTCTGATTCTGGCACCTCGTTAGAGATTTTCTCAATGTTAAGAGCCAACACAGAGGCCTCTCATAAGTGTCTCGTGAGACATTGCCCTTCCAGAGGTGGTGAGGAGACCTGCTTTTCAAAGACACAGTTCATGCTTCTTGATGTGGAAAACAAAACCACACAAAGTTGAATACTTTTAACTTCTCCACTTTTACATGACCACAGGGATGGTAGAAGGAAGTATGCTTTATCACCTGGATTTAGGGACAGAGAAACTGAAATAAAGACTCAACCTCACATGTAGTCTGCAGAGTTAGATACCATCATGGTGTGATGTGAGGTGCTTCATGGGTCCTTCTATTCCTGCAGGCCTCTAAAATAAGCGTCTACTGATATTGGGGTGCTGCCTGAGTGGATGTAGTTTAGCTAGACCATGGAGTTTCATTACCCAGAAGCAACTGCAGAGCTAATAACCTTTTAGGGCTGAGTTCACTTCAACGAATAGTTAGTTACTGAGGACCTACCAGAGAGTGTGTCACTGAGGGTGACTTTGGTTCTAAGCAATAACTCTAATTCCTACAGTATTAAAACAAAAAAAGGCCGGGCGGTGGTGGCGCATGCCTTTAATCCCAGCACTCGGGAGGCAGAGCCAGGCGGATCTCTGTGAGTTCGAGGCCAGCCTGGGC